GTTTTTTACATAAAATCTTTGTTGAAATGTGCATCATGGGTTAATATGTGGGTAGTGTGGTGACTGTTCTCATGTGCTTGAGAGGACTGTAGTCTCTAATTGTTAGAGGAGGGAGGGATCTCCCACTATCTGTGGATTCTGTGTTCCCAGTTTCTCGTTCCTGGGAACACTGCCTGCCTCTTCCTGACTCTGGCTTTCAGCTTCCTCTCCAATTCTGGCTCCTGGGGAGTTCCCTTTTTCCTATGAGCTCTGCCATTTTTATTTTTATTTGTTGATTTCATTCAATCTGGCATTTCTAGTGTGTGTAATCGGTATAGATCCTCCTTAGCCTTAGTCTGCAGTGTTGCCAGAATCAGAAGTTATTACTGATTTCTTACATAACAAATACCATAGATGTCCTCAAAATTAATTTTTTTNTTTTCTCTATTGTTTATTTTCGTCTCATTATTTTCTCTTTGTAGGTTCTGCTGTGCTCTGAGTGTTGTGTTCCTCCAAATCCATATGTTGAAATCCTAACCCCCAAGATGATGGTATTGGGAGGTGGAGGCCTTTGGGAGGTGATTAGGTCATGAGGGCAGAGCCCTTATGATTGGGACTAGTGCCCTCATGAGAGACTCCAGAGAGCTGGCTAGTCCCTTCCACCATGGGAGGACACAGGGAGAAATGCCATCTGTGAACCAGGAAGTGACCCTCACCTGACACAAATCATCTGGCACCTTGAACTTAGATTTCCCAGACTCAAGAATTGCAAGAAATAAATTTCTCTTTATGAGCTACACAGTATATGGTATTTTGTTATAGCAGCCCAAATGGACTAAGACAGCATTTATTCTGGTTTTTTTCTCCTGACTTCCTGATGCTTAGCTTATTTTCATTTTTTCCACTTATCTAATATGTGCAGTCTAGGCTGTAAAGATTTCTCTATGTACCACTGAATTGATTATATCAACTCTTGCTATATAGTNGACACAGGCAAAGCTGTGATTGTCATTCAAGATATATTCGGCTGGCAATTGCCTAATACCAGGTATATGGCTGACATGATCGCTGGAAATGGATACACGTACGTATAAAATTCTGTTCCTTGGCTTAAATTCATGTAAATGTCTGTGGTCCCTTCAGAAAGAAAACAAACAAAACGTGACTATACTCTAATTTTCATGATCTACTTCCTTATCTCACTGTGGTGAAGGTAAATGGGAAATGTCATATGGAATTAAACACCCACGTGGTGGAAGCCATCTGCTCCCAACACAGTCCCTGGGCTTCAGGTCCTCCTGGGAATCCCTGGCCCTACAGACTTGCTGGACACGGAGAGTCCTCACCCCGCGTTGAGCCCTGTTCAGACACAGGCACCGGGCACCTTGGGCAGACCTCAGCAGCTCTGAAAAGGACCCATTACTTGTCCCTGGAAGTATCTCAGCCTGGGCTCAGATTTCACAGGTCTGCTTGGATGGCAGGGTGTCCACGGGTCATCCTTGTCTAAACACGGACTATCCTGGCCCCATCTGAGATAGACTTGGTTCCAGAAATGGCACAGTGAGACCTCATGCATCTCCCACATTTTATGCCTTTGTCCAACCAACTAGCTGTGGCCACCTTGGCGAAGGCTGTCACCGTCTGTTCTCATTTGCCCCTGGTGTTGGTACAAGTGGCAGTGAACCATGACAGAGAGTAGGCACCAAGCTTTCTACCAGCTTCAGAAAGCTTTATCCCAGCAAACCCTGCGCTTGGGCTGTCGCCTGGACTTTCTTTGTTTTCTCAAAAAAAAAAAAAANATTTATGGAGCACTTTTACATGCATCCAATTCATTTTGCTCTCGAGATAGTCTGAGTGATTTGGGCGGTGCAGGGTACTGTCTACTCAGATGAAGAAAATGGGGCTAAAAGTAGTTAAATGACTTGTTAAGATCACAGGGCAGTATGGTTTGGTACTGAGAGTAAAACTTGGATTTTCTGACTCAGGTTTCAGTGTTCCTTCCCCCCCTGCAGGAGGAGCCGTGTTCCTCCAAGCACAGCTGCGGCGACTCTATTTTAGGAAACAGGGCTCTGGCGGGAGCAGCCTTGGCTCCATCCCTCCTGGGCCGATTTGTGTGGAAGAACCACATGGACTCGGGCGAGGCAGGCTTGTTTTCTCTCCGTGGCCTCTTTTAGAACCTGCTTGAGACCATACCCTCTGGGCAAGGAGTTGTACCCTGTTGGCATCCTGGGCGAGGCTGGGGAAAATTGCTTGGTCATAGTGACTGGACGTGCTGCTCTCCAGCGGAGGCTAACGTCAAAGGCCAGGAGGCTCCAAGGCCAGCGAGAGGTGCAGCTCCGTGGGGGGAGAAGGGGCCCTTGGAGCCACCCGCCCAGGTCCACGTGCCCTGTGCCCCCCCCCCC